TCCAGAATAACTCGGTGTCGCCCTCGGAGAGCCTGCGGGCCAGCGAGAAGCACCGGGGTTCTGCGGACTACAGCATGGAAGCCAAGAAGCGGAAAGCGGAGGAGAAGGACAGCTTGAGCCGATACGTACGTCTGGGGTGCGGCGGGCCCCGCTGGGGTTTGGTAGTCCGGGCGGCGGGAGCCCCTACCGGGCCTGGAGCAGGGCGGGCAGGAGAGGCAGCCCCGCCCACAAGGCTGGTGTCCGGGCGGGGAAGGCCACGGACCAGGGCACTGTGAGCATGTGGGCCGCAGCCAGAGCGGGCGGACAGAGGGTTATCCCAGCCCGCACAGGGTCACAGCTCCCTGGTTGGGCCAGCAACTCCATGCTGCCATCATGGCCCTTTCAGACCCTCCAGGCTGCTCTGGGGACGTCCCTGGGGCCCCCACACTCTGACCCTAGAGGTGGTCGTGGTTTCTGCTCTGGGCTGGGCTGAGAGCTGGAGCAGGGGGCAGGGGGCGAGGTGGTATGGGGCCCGGTGCTCCTGTGCCCAGCCCTCCCTGTTCAGCCACATGGCTGCTCTGGGGCTCTGGACACATCCAGCCGAGGCATCAGCTGCATTTCTGGTAGACGAGGCTGATCGCCCCTCCCGCCCAGCACAGAGGCGATGAGATGAGACTCGCGGGTATCAGCCAGCTGGAGAGAGGGGTCTGGCTCCAGAGGGACAAGTCAAAGGGGGCTTAGACATGTTACAGTGGGGCAGGTGTCAGTGAGGCAGCCAGTGGGCTTGGGAGCAGAGCGACCGGGCATTGGGAGCTGGGCTGAAAACAGCAAGGATGGGAGGTGACTTTGGTGGGGCTGAGTGGGAGAGCGTGAGCTTTAGGGTCTGACCGGGTTCAGATCCTGGCTGGTGGAAGAGGGGTGACGAGGGCCCGGTCTGGGGTGGCCGTGACCTCTTCCTGGCGTCTCCCCCCTGTGCAGGACAGTGACGGGGACAAGAGTGACGATCTGGTGGTGGATGTGTCAAATGAGGTGAGGTCAGGCCCCGGTCACGGGCGGCTCTCTGGGTGGCGCACGGGGGGTTATTTCTGTGCTGGGTGAGCTGGCTTTTGCACCGTTACTGGAAGCCTAGCTGGCGGCGAAGCCTCGGGTTGGGGCGTCAGCCTGGAGGACAGAGCCGGGCTTGGCTGCGTGGCGGCCGGGCATCTGACACTGGGGGGTTCCTAGGACGGGTCTCCAGAGGGAGATCCCGGGGAGGGCCAGCTCCCACTGCCTACCATCCTCCAGGCCGGCTCCCTTCCCACCACCCCTGGGGCTGGTGCAAGCCTCAGTGGGGAAGAGGGGCTGGAAGGGATCTCCACGCGGCCAGGAGGCCCGGCTGCCCAGGTCAGAGTCCTGGGCTTGTAACTGGGTCTTGGGCAGGTCACCTCCACCCACCCGTCCACCCAGGTCTCTGTCTCCCCGTCCGTGGGACAGAGGGGCCAGGCTGAGCCATTAAGGGCTGGTCCCCCAACCTGAGTTCAAGCTCCCTTTCCCGTCCCCCGTGGCCATGCCCTTCCCACTCCCAGAGAAGGCTCCAGGCCAGTCGCTGCTCTGAGCTCATCTCTGCATCGCTCGTGCTTTTAGGACCCAGCGACGCCCCGGGTCAGCCCAGCACATTCCCCTCCTGAAAATGGGCTGGACAAGGCCCGTGGCCTGAAGAAGGACGCCCCCACCAGCCCTGCCTCGGTGGCCTCCTCCAGCAGCACACCCTCCTCCAAGACCAAAGACCTTGGTCATGTATGTGGGGCCCGCCCCTGGTGCCGCACAGGCTGGGGGAGAGGGCTGGGCGCAGGTGGGCGGCAGGGAAGAGGGTCTGGAGCTGGAGTGGAGCCAGGTGGAAGGTGGAGGCGCGGGGGAGGAAGCACCTGGACTGGGGCTTGGCCTGGGTTCAGATCTCGACTTTGCTGCTTGCAGGCCAGGCCCCCTGCTAGCTAGTTAATGTTTCTAAGCCTTGGTTTCTGCGTCCGCAAAATGGAAACAGTCGCCACGGTTCCTGCTGAACAAAGTTGGGCGAGAATTGAGGGGCAGAAGATTCAAAGCTGGGGCGGGCACCGGCTCCACGTGACCACCCTCGGCGTGTGCCCAGCACTTGGGAGAAAGGAGTCTTCATGGCTTCCCTTGGTCTCTGCACCCCCCTTTTCAGAACGACAAGTCCTCCACCCCTGGGCTCAAGTCCAACACCCCGACCCCAAGGAATGACGCCCCGACCCCAGGCACCAGCACGACCCCGGGGCTCCGGTCCATGCCGGGCAAGCCTCCGGGCATGGACCCAATAGGTATGACGGGAAGCTCGGCGGGCTGGGCTGCCCGGCTGGGGGTGCTGCCCCGGGCAGGGCTGGAGCCCCACAGATGGGCCGGAGTGCCAGGGAGGGTGTCAGAGTTGGGGCTCTCCCAGGGCCTCTCTCAGGGGGTACGTGGTGGTCGGGTCTGAAGGGGAGGTGGACTCCAGGTGCTTCGACACCGACGGCAGGGCTTCCGGGGCCACCGCTGGGCTCGGTGTGTGCGGAGAGCTTCAGACAGGTCAGGACGCCCACGTGTGTCCTGCCTCTGTCGTCAGTCCTGGGAGGCGCTGAGCAGCCCCCTCTTCTGGGGCTCAAAGTCGTGCTCTGTTAGAGCACACGGCACGTCTCTCAGCTCCGGCCTTCCTGGGCTGTGGAGACGGGAACCCCCTGGAGGGGGTGCGGCTGGGCCAGGAGGCAGCCTGGCCGCCTGGGCTCTGTCCTGGCGGGAGGCGCCTCCGGCTGACGCCCGCTCCTCGCAGCCTCGGCCCTGCGCACGCCCATCTCCATCACCAGCTCCTACGCCGCGCCCTTCGCCATGATGAGCCACCACGAGATGAACGGCTCCCTCACCAGCCCCAGCGCCTACGCCAGCCTCCACAACATCCCGCCCCAGATGAGCGCGGCCGCCGCCGCCGCCGCCGCCTATGGCCGGTCGCCAATGGTGAGCTTTGGAGCTGTACGTAGACCTTTTGGCTCCTTTTGGCGGGGGTGGGGGGGCACGGTGCTGGGCAAGGATCAGGGGAGGGGGCTAGGGAGGCCCTTACTGCTCAGCAGAGGGGGCCCTGGTGTCTG